AGTTAGGCTAATGTTCAATTTAGTGTTAATCAGGGTGCTGAAAAAGTTGATGAGAGATTCTTCTTCCCCATTCCAAAGGAGAAAAATATCATCAATATACCGCTTGTACAGTGCCAATTCAGACCAGTCTCTGGCATAAATGAGATCTTCCTCCCAACGGGACATAAACAAGTTTGTCAGACTAGGGGCAAACTTGGCCCCCATTGCAACTCCCTTAATTTGCAAATAATAAGCCTTGTTAAACCAGAAGTAGTTGTTATGCATTGCGAATTCCAGCAAATGCAAAATAAAGTTTTTCTGACTTGCAGGTAAAGTGCTGTTGTGCGTTAAGTAGAAGTCAGCAGCTTCCATGCCATCAAGGTGATCCATGTTAGTATAAAGGGAGGCAACATCTGCTGTTACCAAAAATGTGTTCGGAGATATAGTGATATTACTAACCTCGTTTAATACCTGTTTGGTGTCTTGTAAATATGAAGGCGTTTGTGAGACAATAGGTTGGAGGAAAATATCGATGTACTCCCCAATTCTATGCTTGATGACCATAATAGAAGGAAGCTCACCATCCACCCAACCCTGAGACCCTTGGTGGTTATATATTTATATGCGCATTTCCAATGTGCTTGCGGCGAGTACGCATTTTTACTATTTGATCCTGTTACAAGCCTTGGTTTTCTACAATCTGCTGCTGTGAAGATTATCCATTTGTGCGACTATTATTTATATTCATTTATTTGAACTTTACTATCTTATGATATTTGGATGAACTATTGATTTACACTCATTATTTATGCACATTATTATTATTATATCAGTTAATTGAGGATACGTTAGCGCTGCACTTTTTATGTTTTAATTATCGTCAAATCGGCCGATCTTTTTACCGATAAAAAAATCTTTGCATGAGCCGTGACCTGCAAGAAAAAGAAGAAAAAGAATAAAAAAAAAGAAAAAGAAAAATGCAGGCCATAGACAGGACGAAAATTGTCCGATTATTTTTACCGCTGGTGGTAATGTCGGCCTATTGAAGGACCGATTTTTCTTTTTTTCTTTTAAACAGCCGGTTTTCAACCCATCTATGGCCTGCATTAATGTTTCAGCTGTCAGTGAGGTTCCCCCGAAGTAGATCCAACGTCAATCACGGCGACCCGAAAAAAAAGTAAAAAAAAAAAGCTCCGCTCTAGACAGAGGCTAGATGCAGAAGACAGGGTGACAGTTCTTAAATAGGTAAGGGACGGGGCCAGCCGGGGACATCATCCGAGTTTCCCCGCCCCATGTGACATCATTGATGTCACATGAGGTGGGATCATATGCTGACGTTGGATCTACTTCAGGGAACATTGTTTTATTAAAGGGCTTGTCAAAGACCCTATACTGTGTTTTCTTACACTACACTTTTGCTTTTTTTGTGAATTAGTAGCGGTACTATGTACCGCATACTCATTCACGTAGGGGGGGGGGGGGGCGGGATCTGGGGGCCCCTTGTTAAAGGGGGCTTCCAGATTCTGATAAGCCCCCCGCCAGCAAACCCCACAACCACTGGCCAGGGTTGTGGGGAAGAGGCCCTTGTCCCCATCAACATGGGGACAAGGTGCTTTGGGGGGGAGCCCCCCTGCCCCAAAGCACCCCCCCCATGTTGAGGGCATGTGGCCTAGGATGGTTCAGGAGGGGGGCGCTCGCTCTCCCCTCCTTTCCTGACCTGCCGGGCTGTATGCTCGGATAAGGGTCTGGTATGGATTTTGGGGGGGGGGGACTCCACACTGTTATTTTTTTTATTTCGGCATGGAGTTACCCCTTAATATCCATACCAGACCTGAAGGGCTTGGTATGGATGAGAGGGGGGACCCCACGTTGTTTTTTTTTTTTTTAATTGCAGACCTTTATTTTTACATTCAGCTGTCAAAATAAATATTATCTAGACCTTCGAAATAAGTAAAATCATTACAGAAATAATTATAAAGGATAAGAAACAAAAATAGAATCACTAGAACTAAGGAAATCTAATTAGAATACATAAAGATATGCTTAGTACTTTTGTTAAACACAGTAGAAGCGACCGAGTGCCGGCTGTCAGAGGACTCCACACAAAGATTTACTATTGAGCAGTGGCTAAAAAGTAAGCGCCCACAGAGGACATCTAAAATGTGTTCTGCACATGCGCATTTATATCGGCCAAATACACTGCACAAGCGTCTAGTTCTTCACTGTGTCGATTTGCTTAAAAAAAAACTTTTTAACACATTTTAAATTTTTTGGGAAATGGCAGATATTGTTTAAAGTGAAGTCCTGGTATTTGGCAAAGCAAATTTCGATGTGAACATGTTTCTGCAGTGATTTTTCATGGTGTTAGACGTGCCTTTTAGCAAGTCTGCTTTTTGAGTCTGATTCCTGGGCTGTGTCTCGTTAGTAAATTTGATTTGGCGTCTACTTGTTGACGCTTCTCTTTAGTAAATCTCTTAGTGGGGTAAAAGTAGACGGTCGCTAGTAAAAATTAGTTGTTCGCCCACGGAAATGCGCCTAGGCGCAATAGTAAATCAGGGGCAGTGTTGATCCCGAGCCCCGGGGCCTCCACCAGGAGAGGGGGCACTGCTCGGCCAAGAGCCTCTGGATGCAGGAGGTTTGGCCCGGGGCAGCGTCGATCCCGAGCCCAGGGGCCTCCCCCGGGAGAGGGGGCGCTGCTCGGCCAAGAGCCTCAGGACGCAGGAGGTCTGGCCCGGGGCAGTGTCGATCTTGAGCCCGGGGGCCTCCCCCGGGAGAGGGAGCACTGCTCGGCCAAGAGCCTCTGGACGCAGGAGGTCTGGCCCGTGTCGATCCCGAGCCCGGGGGCCTACCCCGGGCTGGCACTCTTCTGGCACTCCTCTTCTGGTCTTCCTCCAGACCCTGCACTTTCTGCTTTCCAGCTTTGCCCCCAAAGGGGGTGGACAGTGATGTTAGGGAGGGTATGGGATTCTTGACATCTGATGAAATGGGAGGTGGGGTGCTCTGGACATCTAGTCTTACAGATACATCCAGCCCTTTGATGGGAACCATAATGCTGATACGGCCCGCGATGAAATGCAGTTGGACACCCCTGTCCTACCTGGATGACATTGCAGTGTTCCCCTCCACGTGGTGGGAACACTTTACATACTTGTCAAACGTTCTAGAGAAACAGCGGATAACCCAATGGATAAACTAAGTGCGTGTTGGATCTGCATGACAGAAGTCTAGTACTTGGGACCCCCAAGTGGAAGGAAGTACCCCGAGTGGAATGATGGAGTCCATCATGCCTGACCTACCCCTCACACCAAGAAGCAAGTTATGCCATTTACAGACAGCTGGCTACTGTAGAAAATTTGTTTGAAGTTATAGTACTTTGATCAAACCGTAGACCAGCCTTTTTCATTCAGGGGCACCCTGGGGTGCTTTCAGGATTCTTCAGGGGTGCCTTGGGCAAATGCCTAAAAATTGTATATAAGCCAGTGGGTGGATGAAGCCTACTTCTAGTTACAGTAAGCCACAGGTCTTCATTGTGCACCATTACAACCTTCCAGCCGCCAGCGTTCTAACAACCAATGACATTATCAGTTGATAAGGAGAATGTTGGACGCTTGCAGAGCATTCTAGTTCTCCCCTCTCCATCAATGTTGGGCTAACAGTAGCTGAGTGAGGGATAGAAACTGAGGGAGAAGAGAAACACTAGTCAGAATAAATCACCTCTAATGTTGGGTGTCCTATATGTTTGGATGTTGATGCATTACGTAAAAAAGAAATATGTTTAGTTTTTTTTTTTACATTTTTAGAATGGGGTGCCTCGTGATTGTGCAGAATTTTAAAGGGTGCCGCAGCTGGAAAATGGTCGAGAAACACCGCCCTAGACTGAATCAAAAAAGAAGAAAAGGCGTAAGCTGGTGTATTGGATGCCAGAGTGTGAGAAGGCCTTCCAAGCCATGATGGAGGCATTGGTCAGTGGTTCCTGTGCTACAAGCTCCAGCTTCCACCTTTGGTTTTTGGTGCCAACTGCTGCCTCTTCCTAGGACTTAGGTGCAGTCCTGAGCCAGGTTCATCGGTCAGGGGAGGCACATCTCTACCTCAGCTGAAAGTTACTCCCCAGGGAGCTGGCATATGCCACCACTACAGAAGAACTTGACCATCCTATCCTTTTACAGCCAAGGAAGCGGCCATCTTACCTGTTGTTCGATCTGCAGTTGCCATGGCGCTGCATGTGATCAGCTATGGCAACTGCCATTTGATGGATTGGCAGTTCTGTTGAGCTCTAACATGGGCACTTTAGTAACTGTAAGTTTTTTTTATTCAAGACTTGCCTTGAGTAGAACTGTTTTGGGAAACCGTTGAAGCGGTTGTAAAGCTCAGACATGAAATATGAACAAAACATATCCCTCTATAATGTGTACTTGTCTCAGTTCAGCATACTAACACCTAATTCACATCGGGTATGGCTTGGCATGCGATCTGCATGCCATGCAACTTGCAATCGTATGCCAAGTTGCACCCTATTGTCCACAACTGCAGTGGTTAAATCGGTGTGGTTCCGACTTAGAAATTATTTTTTCTTTTATTTTCTTGCTGCTGTGATCTGACTTGCAGCTGTTTGTTCTCCATGGCCCCCCCAGATGTAGGAAGGTAGCCACCCTCTCTTGTTCACCCCAGATGGACTATGAGGTGTGTAGTATACATGGAACACCACACATGACCACAGCTAACAGGCATTTCTGAGGTGAGGGGGAAAAGCAAAGGTTGGGGAGCTCACAGAGGATGCTAAAAAAAAAAGTTAGAAAAACACAAGAAGCCAATTGATGAATGACAGGGTCATGAAGTAGTCGATGTGTATGGATTATTTTTTAGAAAATATAATTTGGTTTCATCCTGCTAGGCCCCTTCCTGATCCTGGAGCCCGCGCATGCGCAGTGCCGGGCTTGGCTGTTATTTTTCATGAGGCTACTCCACCACTTCGGAAGCAGGTCGTGACGCCATCGCTGAGCGCCGGAGTTCTGCGCTGACGTGCGCGTCGCCGCCTGCGGCTAAGTAAGAGCGGGAGCGCGCCTGGTCGGCTTGAGGCGCGCAGGCATGGCTATGGCTGCGCTGAGTGCGGTGATCCCCGGGCTGGCAGTGTGAGAGCCTTCGCCGGGCACAACATGGAGGACGTCAAGCTGGAGTTCCCCGCCCTGCCACAGTGCAAGGACGACCAGGAGGTGAGGCGGGGAGAGAGGGAGGCCCGGGCCGGCTGGTATCACGTGACTGAGCCTCCGCCACGCCGGGGCGGGTGGACTGTCACCCATAGCAACCGGTGTTCCCTCATATGGGCACGAGCAGGGACTGTCACCCGTAGCAACCGGTGTTCCCCCATGTGGGCCCGAGCAGGGACTGTCACCCGTAGCAACCGGTGTTCCCCCATGTGGGCCCGAGCAGGGACTGTCACCCGTAGCAACCGGTGTTCCCGCATGTGGGCCCGAGCAGGGACTGTCACCCGTAGCAACCGGCGTTCCCGCATGTGTGCACGAGGAGGGACTGTCACCCGTAGCAACCGGCGTTCCCTCATGTGGGCCTGAGCAGGGACTGTCACCCGTAGCAACCGGCGTTCCCTCATGTGGGCCCGAGCAGGGACTGTCACCCGTAGCAACCGGCGTTCCCTCATGTGGGCCCGAGCAGGGACTGTCACCCGTAGCAACCGGCGTTCCCTCATGTGGGCCCGAGCAGGGACTGTCACCCGTAGCAACCGGCGTTCCCTCATGTGGGCCCGAGCAGGGACTGTCACCCGTAGCAACCGGCGTTCCCTCATGTGGGCCCGAGCAGGGACTGTCACCCGTAGCAACCGGCGTTCCCTCATGTGGGCCCGAGCAGGGACTGTCACCCGTAGCAACCGGCGTTCCCTCATGTGGGCCCGAGCAGGGACTGTCACCCGTAGCAACCGGCGTTCCCTCATGTGGGCCCGAGCAGGGACTGTCACCCGTAGCAACCGGCGTTCCCTCATGTGGGCCCGAGCAGGGACTGTCACCCGTAGCAACCGGCGTTCCCTCATGTGGGCCCGAGCAGGGACTGTCACCCGTAGCAACCGGCGTTCCCTCATGTGGGCCCGAGCAGGGACTGTCACCCGTAGCAACCGGCGTTCCCTCATGTGGGCCCGAGCAGGGACTGTCACCCGTAGCAACCGGCGTTCCCTCATGTGGGCCCGAGCAGGGACTGTCACCCGTAGCAACCGGCGTTCCCTCATGTGGGCCCGAGCAGGGACTGTCACCCGTAGCAACCGGCGTTCCCTCATGTGGGCCCGAGCAGGGACTGTCACCCGTAGCAACCGGCGTTCCCTCATGTGGGCCCGAGCAGGGACTGTCACCCGTAGCAACCGGCGTTCCCTCATGTGGGCCCGAGCAGGGACTGTCACCCGTAGCAACCGGCGTTCCCTCATGTGGGCCCGAGCAGGGACTGTCACCCGTAGCAACCGGCGTTCCCTCATGTGGGCCCGAGCAGGGACTGTCACCCGTAGCAACCGGCGTTCCCTCATGTGGGCCCGAGCAGGGACTGTCACCCGTAGCAACCGGCGTTCTCTCATGTGGGCCCGAGCAGGGACTGTCACCCGTAGCAACCGGCGTTCCCTCATGTGGGCCCGAGCAGGGACTGTCACCCGTAGCAACCGGCGTTCCCTCATGTGGGCCCGAGCAGGGACTGTCACCCGTAGCAACCGGCGTTCCCTCATGTGGGCCCGAGCAGGGACTGTCACCCGTAGCAACCGGCGTTCCCTCATATGGGCCCGAGCAGGGACTGTCACCCGTAGCAACCGGCGTTCCCGCATATGGGCCCGAGCAGGGACTGTCACCCGTAGCAACCGGCGTTCCCGCATATGGGCCCGAGCAGGGACTGTCACCCGTAGCAACCGGCGTTCCCGCATATGGGCCCGAGCAGGGACTGTCACCCGTAGTAACCAGAGCTTCCCTGATGCAGGCCATATACGGTTTGAATTCCGAACGATTTTTCGTCCAAAATTCGAAAACGTTGTTCGCTCGGTGATCCGCTGGTGCCATCAATGATTCCGAAAATCAGCCGACCGAGTCATAAAGTTCACCCCATATGACAGGCGAGACTTCTGTTCCTTCCAGGTCACGGCTCATGCGCAAATTCTTTTGGGAAAAACGATCGTATGATTTGACCTTCATTGAGTCGAAAATCGTTGTTTTTCATGTATTTTCCAACATGCCCGATCACCGAAAAAAGGGAGGAACCATGAAAATTGGCCATTGACCCACTAACAGAGTGAAAATTGGCCGATTATTCTTAGGTCCGCTTTTCAGATGAAAAATCGGTTGAATTTCGATCCCTGTATGGCTGTCCTTATATGGGCGGTGACTCTCATGGAACCCCTGGTGGGCCCCCTGCCAGGTGCCCCCCCCCCCCCTCCGCAAAAACGCTGTGACCCCAGCCGGTCACAGCTGACCGTCTGTTTAGCTGCGTTTGCATAAAGCTTTTATGTGCGTTTTGCATTTAGAAGCATTTTTTAAAAGATAAGCACAGGAGAACCTCCCAAATGCCCAGAATGCACTGAAAAGTGGTAAATTATGAACTGTTTCAGACTGTTTCAGAGAAATACAGAGAGTAGAAGCAGAGACAGCAGTATGTGTTTAGATTAGCTGAGGTGAGTTGCTCATTAACATTTCTTTTGTTTCCAAGGGTGGGAAAGGTGTCTGGTGGAGGAGTTAAGGCCACCTGGCAGGGGGTCTTCATGAGCAATTTGAGGTTGAATGCCCATTAACTTATTATTATACAGGATTTATATGGCACCAACAGTTTGCTCAGCTCTTTACAATATAACGGGAGACAATACAGCAACAATACAGTTCAATACAAGAGGGACAGGAGGGCCCTGATCCTGGGAGCTTACAATCTAGGAGGGAGGGGCTAGTGGTACAAAAGGTAGTAACTGTGGGGGATGGACTGGTAGGAGGAATAGAAGATTCCATTATTAGCTGAGGGCAGGATAGGCTTCCCTGAAGAGAGAGGTTTTCAGAGGTTGCCTAAAAGTGAGCAGAGTAGGCGATGGTCTGATAAATTGGGATAGAGAGTTCCAGAGGATGGGGGAAGCTCTGGAGAAATCCTGGAGATGAGCATGGATGGAGGAGAGAAGGGAGCTAGAGAGTAGGTGGTTGTGGGAGGAGCGGAGAGTACATTTTGGGTGATATTTGGAGACAAGATTGGTGGTGTAATTGGTGGCAGAGTTATAAATCGCTTTATATGTTGTTGTGTGTGTGTATATATATATATATATATATATCTTTTGTTTCCAAGGGTGGGAGAGGTCTGAGGTGGGAATTGGTCATTATCATATCTTTTGTTTCCAAGGGTGGGAGAGGTCTGAGGCGTGAATTGGTCATTATCATATCTACAGTCATGGCCGAAATTGTTGGCACCCTTGATATTTTTCCTGAAAATCAAGTATTTCACACAAAAAAGGTATTGCATTAACACATGTTTTGCTATACACATGTTTATTCCCTTTGTATGTATTGGAACAAATATAAAACAGAGGCAGAAAAGCAAATATGACATAATGTCACACAAAACCCCAAAAATGGGCTGGACAAAAGTATTGGCACCCTTAACTTAATATTTGGTTGCACACTCTTTGGAAAACATAACTGAAATCAGTCGCTTCCTATAACCATCAATAAGCTTCTGACACCTCTCACCCGGAATTTTGGACCACTCTTCCTTTGCAAACAGCTCCAGGTCTCTCTTATTGGAAGGACACCTTTTCCCAACAGCAATTTTAAGATCTCTCCACAGGTGTTCAATGGGATTTAGATCTGGGCTCATTGCTGGCCACTTCAAAACTCTCCAGCGCTTCTTTGCCATCCATTTCTGAGTGCTTTTTGACGTATGTTTGGGGTCATTGTCCTGCTGGAAGACCCAGGATCTTGGACGCAAACCCAGCTTTCTGACACTGGGCCCTACAGTGCGACCCAAAATCCTTTGGTAATCCTCAGATTTCATGATGCCTTGCACACAGTCAAGGCACCCAGTGCCAGAGGCAGCAAAACAACCCCAAAACATCATTGAACCTCCACCATATTTTACCGTAGGTACTGTGTTTTGTTCTTTGTAGGCCTCATTCCGTTTTCGGTAAACAGTAGAATGATGTGCTTTACCGAAAAGCTCTATCTTGGTCTCATCTGTCCACAAGACGTTTTCCCAGAAGGCTTTTGGCTTACTCAAGTACATTTTGGCAAACTGTAGTCTTGCTTTTTTATGTCTCTGTGTCAGCAGTGGGGTCCTCCTGGGTCTCCTGCCATAGCGTTTCATTTCATTTAAATGTCGACGGATAGTTCGCGCTGACACTGATGCTCCCTGAGCCTGCAGGACAGCTTGAATGTCTTTGGAACATGTTTGGGGCTGCTTATCCACCATCCGGACTATTCTGCGTTGCAATCTTTCATCAATTTTCCTCATCCGTCCACGACCAGGGAGATTAGCTACAGTGCCATGGGTTGCAAACTTCTTGATAATGTTGCGCACTGTGGACAAAGGCAAATCTAGTTCTCTGGAGATGGACTTGTAACCTTGAGATTGTTGATATTTTGCCACAATTTTGGTTCTCAGGTCCTCAGACAGTTCTCGTCTCCTCTTTCTGTTGTCCATGCTTAGTGTGGCACAGACAGACACACAATGCAAAGGTTAAGTGAACGTCTCTCCTTTTTATCTGCTTTCAGGTGTGATTTCTATATTGCCCACACCTGTTACTTGCCCCAGGTGAGTTTACAGGAGCATCACATGCTTGTAACATTCTTATTTATCCGCAGTTGTGAAAGGGTGCCAATACTTTTGTCCAGCCCATTTTTGGAGGTTTGTGTGACATTATGTCGAATTTGCTTTCTTTCCTCCCTTTTTTTGTTTTGTCCCAATACACACAAAGGGAATAAACATGTGTATAGCAAAACATGTGTTAATGCAATACGTTTCGTGAGAAATACATGATTTTCAGGAAAAATATCAAGGGTGCCAACAATTTCGGCCATGACTGTATTGTTTCCAAGGGTGGGAGAGGTCTGAGGTAGGAAATGGTCATTATATCTATTGTTTCCAAGGGTGGGAGAGGTCTGAGGTGGGAATTGGTCATTCTATCCTTTCCAAGGGTGGGAGAGGTCTGAGGTGTTAATTGGTCATTATATCTATTGTTTCCAAGGGTGGGAGAGGTCTGAGGTGTTAA